CTCTTGCAGCCAACCTTCAACCTCTGTCACATCGTCGTAATGTTGCTTCTCTTTCTCTTTTCTACAAATACTGTAATGGGCACTGCTCTAAAGAGCTAGCGTCTCTTGTGCCATCTACTAAAATTCATACTTGTGTTACTTTACTTTGGTAACATTTTTGGTAATGTTTCTGCATGAGTAACTTCTTTCTTGTCAATCATTTATTTATATTTATTCTTAATAATGATATTTTGGTTTTATTCACTATTGAAAACCATGATTATTTGTTACATCAACCAATCACTAATAAAAGGTATTTGTTACATTTCATAATAATTAGAACATAATTGTAAAACAGTTTACAATTATATTGTATCATATTATACTTATATTTCTTTAAGCAAAATACTTTTTTTAAATTTCAAAACAAATTTAGAGGCAACAAAAAAACTTGTTGATTACAAACAAACAAACAAATTTTCAAAAGGTTTAACTTTTTTATTGAGTAAAATTGTTCAAAAAATTTTTGTTTTATAGAAGTTTGAAATTTATTCTTATTTCCAACAAGGTTGCAAACAACCACTATTAGAGGTGGAAGTTACTGGAAGAGAAAAAATGAAGTTTATAAAGCAAGATAATGTTTAACAGACAACTTAAAAGATTACAAGTTAAATAAATCAGGAAAACAAGAAGGGAGAAAATTACAAAGAAATGATATTCAAGGAAAAAAGTTAAACAAATAAGAATTTTTGGAGAACTTAGAAACAGTCATAGTAAAAAAAATGAGACTTAGTTGAATGGCGATTAACACAAGAATGAATTTTAGTAGATGGCACATAAGACACTAGCTCTTTATTGCAGCGCTCATTGTAGTATTTATAGAAAAGAGAAAGAGAAGCAGCATTAAAATGATGTGACAATGGTTGGAGATTGGCTATAAGAGCAGGTCTAACTATGTTTACAATCAGGGTTGGCTTTTAAAAACCCGCCGAAAAAAATAAATAAACTTATTTTATAGTTTTATGAACTATTATAACCAACATTAACATTATAACGGTTATATTATTAACTAAATTAATTAGTAACTATTATTGTTAAATAAATTATTATTAACTATTATTATTAACTATTATAGCCAACAATAAATGCTATTGAGTAGATTTACTAATATTTAAATTATTATTTGGAAATACATTATCACAATTTTGATTAAACTTTCTCTCATTCTCCAACATTTTTTTTTTTTATTTCTCATTGATATTTTTAATTATAAAAAATATTACTTTTAAATCTAAAATAAATCAATACATATAGATTTTACATAAATTTTTTTTTTCTATCACAGTTTTAAATTATGTTTCGAATTCTTTTTCATAATAATTTGAAAAATTATTTAATAATAAATTATTAAATAACATTATGTCAGACGAGAACCAAGAGGCCGTATGTCCACATTTTGTATTTTTTCTATTTATTATCAATAAATATTCAACAACCATTGGGGTATGTGCCTAATAAATCTAGTCTCAAGAATAATATAACTTATAAAAATATTAAAAAAATTAGTGGGACATTCTGGCAGAAAGTCTTCCCAAATAAAATTTTAAAACTTGATTTTCTCGAAACACAAAAAATGGACATATGGCCTCGTGGTTATTGGCTGATGATTATATAAAACATATTTTAAATAAAGTTCAATTTAAATAAAGTAGAAAATTTTTCTGATTTTCAATATTATTAAACAAAAACAAAAGAAAAATTTAACAGATACGAAATAAAAATAAAGCCCAAAAATACTCAAAAAACCCCGCTGTGCTGGTTTTTATTTCAAAATATCCTGGGTTTTTGCCAACCCTGTTTACAATGGATTTTTGCACCTAATTTAAAAAAAAAAAAAGGAAGATTAGCTCTAGATATGGCAACAGTATTTTATATAAGGACAGATTTGAGATTTTTAGAGATAAAGAATAGAATCAGGAGTAAAAAAGTGTCGAGCTTGATAAAGAGATTCAATCTTTGCAGATGCTAATTTTGCAACAGATTTGATATATGGTTTCCAAGAAAGATTGGAAGTAAGAGTTAATTTTAAAAGACAAGATTAGAAGACTAGTCTTGAGATGAAAGAGTGAACAAAGAGAATATTATAGAACTAAGAGATTATAGAGATTATAGAACTAAGTGGTGCTAAACAAAAGCACACAAAAACAATAGTCTGTAGATTCAAATCTGACAAATAGGTGAATTCTTACAAATGAAAATTTCCAGGTCAAGATCACATGATAAGACAGGTCATTAGTCTCACAAAGAGTTAGTAGGTCTGGTGAACTTTGCAAAAGATAGGACTCAACAGAAGAAAAGTTACTTTACAATGAATGTTAACAATTTAAAGAACTTGATGATTTTGATGATTTTTTGTGTTATATAGTTTTTGATACTTGAGTCATTTTTAAAATTGGTTAAAGAACTTTACTCAAACCACAGGTAGTACTCAGCACACAGATACTAGAGAGTTTGGGAAATC